ACGAGTTTTCAGTTCGTTTGCACAATTGAATACTTTCAACTCGAGAATTGAAGTGATTATACCTGATCGTGCGATTCAAATCAGATTTAATTGGATACCTGTAAGCAACGTCACTTGCGAGTGTAGTACCTGATTGGTTCCTGAATCGACGTAGGCCACGATTTACCTACGATGATGTCACTTGCAGGTATTCAACTTAACTAGAAATTTCATCTAGTGGTCTAATGGTTTAAGCTTTTTTTTTAAATTTCCAATCAATAAGCCTGTGGAAACATTTAATATCTAAGAAATAGAAAATAAGAGGTAATAGAACTTTGATAATCTAGGTTTCAGACATAATTTAATGCTAGAAGTTTAATTTAACGAAGTTTAGACACAATTTAATGTTAGAAAACAGTAGCTTTAATGAGCTCTTAAATAGAAATGTATTGTGTGTTTTCATTGAGACAAAATCATTGTCCATTAATGATATTCGCTGCCAATCAGGATACATTGAATTGCTGTACTTAGCGACAAGTGCTAATCCCTGCAAATCATCAATGAATCAGGATAGTTAATTAATCTTAGAAGACAACACTGTAATTTATTAAAAGAGCTATTATCAAGGAAAAGTTCTTTAAATTACTTATAGAAAACGGATGTTAATTGCTTTTTTATTTAAGTTGAATGTTTTTTCCTGTATTTTTTAATGTTTTTTTTTTTAGACATTGCATGAACTTTTAATTTATAACTAAGATTCACGTGATGCAGTATTTTAAAATAATTTATGAAAACCTACCTTGATTCATGACAAATATTAGACCATTCAAATAATTGAATGACATAGTGTTTTGTAGAATTTAAGGAAATAGATAGGAAAAATTTATAACTCTGTCTTGATCCTACTTTTAATAAATTCGGAAGGAAAACTGTTTTCTAGTTTATTGGGAGATAAATAGAAATAAAGCACTTTATTTTTGACTTAGAATATAGCGATGAAGGCAGCTGCATTTATCTGATATCTCACCACATGCGCTCAAACTCTACGACCGAGGGCACCATATGACTATCTACATGCGACTGGACACTATACCACGGAAGAAAACTTTCACGCAAATTCTCCTTCATATCTATAAGTAATTTAAAAGCTTAAGTTTCGAAAAAGTGAGTTCAGACATACCTAGAGTAAGCCATGGAGTTTCAAACTCTGAAAAAATGTTTTCAAAATGTCAAAATGCAAACAAATTATGACAGGATTACTTAGGATTGCTTTGTGGAAAAATTCTTCTGATCTGAAAATTCGTGGATTAGTCAAGATATGTATGAATTCACTTTTCCCAAAACTTGAAATTTTAACCAACCTGTGGAAATGACACCAATGGAAATGAAACAAAATTTGTGCTAAAAATAAAATGTGTCCAGATTAAGATATTTCAGTTTTGAATAAAATGCTATGTAAAAGTGTAAGTTTAAACTATAAATTATCCTTGAAAAAATAGGTGGTGCTTGCTGTCCGACTTGTATTTTAAAATGGGCTCTTGTATACATAAAGGCAGTTTATGATCTACAGACGATACATCACTTTATGTCGGATGTAATACAAAAGAAAATTAATCCCATGATTATTAGGAAAGCAAAAAACTGTAAAAAAACGCTATTTTAATTTCTCTATTTTCAAATGGACACATTTGATATCTCTTAATTTCTTTATTTAATAAGATTTTCGAAACGCCAATTAGATCCCTGAAAGTGACGCCATCATAGGTAAATCATGGTATTTCTCAATTCAAAAATTAATCAGGTTCAACTAAATCACTTGGTTAGTTATAATCGCGTCAGTTCTTATCGAGTTGCAAGTACACAGAACACATTTTCGACATTAAAATCAAAACCTAACATTCATATATTGCATCATACAGTTCATATAAAACATTCACCTTCTATTCTAAAACACTGACCGCACCTGTATTTTTAAATGCATTAAGTCGATAAAAAATAACTACATAATTTAATTCAATTTATTTGCAAGTGACTTGAAAAAATTAACCTCGTGAAAAAAAAAACAATCTTCTCGATATCTATTCTTTTTATCCATTTGTCATACTTCACAAATTTTCAATTCACATAGTTACAGATACTCAACTATTACGGTTCTTAAAACAAGGGTTCACGCGCGACATCGTTCTGTTATCTCTTTTTTTCTTTCTATGCCGAAGCACACACTTCCTCGCCAAAAGCAAAAGTGCCCGTTATTTGCTCCTCAAATTAGCCTCTTGTTATTTCTCTAACCAGGTAATTTTCTCCGCAACCTTCTCGCTTCAGCCGTGCGGAACGATTTCGTTGTTATGAACCATTCGTTCTCCTACATAGAATGATTTTCATGTGCGGTTTCGTTGGAATGCGAGAATTACTCGTAATAGAAATGCGGAAAGATGGATACCAAAGGCTGACAGACTTCCGGTATATTATATTTTATATATATATATATATATTTACATGGAACTTTTTAAGTCATTCAGATATTATATAATTATTATTAGTGGTATTACCGTTGTTGAACAGCTGACCCAATTTTTTGGGTTTAAAGACTACTAATGTTCAACTCCATAGCCTTGTAATTTTGAAACCCAATCCCGAAGACAAGGGAACTCCTGGATCAAGTATGGGGAGAAATTTATCTTCGTGGTGGACTTTTTGATGGAACTAACCCGAATTTACGTTACATGGAGCCTCCCACGGTTGGTCTGACTGCAAAGGGACTCTCGCCCATGATCCGTCCACCACTGAGGATATTTTGCGTCAGCACTGTGGCCGTTGCAAGCCGGATACAGAATTCGTATCGACCAGCCATCGCAGAGATTCGAACCCGGTTCACCTCAAGTCATTCAGATATCTATTTCTTTTTTAAAAAGAAAAACAATATATTTTTATTTTGGTGCACAATGTAAAAATATAGTCAGTTCACGATAACTCGATTTCAATATCCGTCGAATCATATTGTTTGTGGTCACTTTCTACTTTCGTTTTTTGTCACCAGTTCAAGATGTTGGACACCCAACGATTGTCAGTTCTTCTATCTCTATGGTCAGTTTGCCAGCTAAAAAAGAGAAAAGGAACATAACGTTGGGGAAATTTTTATTCTGGTCACAGCTGGAGATGCGTGTTCATGAAAATGGCAACAGTTGGAAATGCGTGTTTAAAAAAATGGACACAGCAGGAAATACGTATTTAAGAAAATGGACATAACTCAAACTACGTGTTTAAGAGAATACACAGCTCGAAATGATCTGTTAAGAAAGTACGCAATACGAAATGCGTATTTATGAAAATGAACACAGCTAAACATCCACGTTTAAGAAAATGAACACAACTTATATGCTCGTAGACTTAAATTTCTTTTTTCAAACTTCTCTTAGGAAAAAAGATTTTTTTTGAAGAATAAACTACCGAATCCAAATAAATTCGTTACGTAATATAGTCCATTTGCCTAAATCACTTAGTATTTATTTAAAAAAAAATTGGTCTTTTCTTTTTTTTGAAAAGATATAAGTCAACAGTTCCCTTAACAAGGTTATCATGGTGCACATAAACTTATAATAATGGTAGTAAATTGAAGTTGTTCGTATTTAGATTTTTAAAACCACTTAATTGTTTGGTGATCTGAATAACGAAGAGATGTCTGAAACGTTACATCTATAATATAACCGGTCATACCATCCCCGAGTTTCGGGATTCGATCCGTAATGACTATGCTTAGTGTTTAAAAAAGAGAAAAAAAACTGAGAAGGTATCTCCTAGTTTAGTCGCTAAATTTTGGTTGAACTGTGAAAGGGCGCATTTTTATTGTGTTCATTTTCCTAAATACTGTTTTGAGCTATGCCCGTTTTCTTTAACCCATATTTTGAGCTTGTACACATTTCCTTAAACGCGCATTTTGAACTGTGTCCATTTTTTAAAACAGTGCTTTTGAGCTATGTCCGTTTTCATAAATGCGCATTTTGAGCTATTTCCATTTTCATAAACACGGCTCTTAAGCTATGTCCATTTTCATAAACACGGCTTTTGAGTTTTGCCCATTTTCATAAACACTACTTTTGAGCTATGTCCGTTTTCATAAATACGCATTTGAGCTATTTCCGTTTTCATAAACACCGCTTTTGAGCTATGTCCATTTTTATAAAAACTATTTTGAGCTATGTCTATTTTCATAAACACGGCTCTTGATCTGTATCCATTTTCTTAAACACGCATTTTGAGTTGCTTCCAGAATAAAAAGTTCCTTTGCGATTACCCTTTTGCGTATAAAACAATACGGGGCGACATTTTGAAATCATTTTTTGAGGTTCAATTTGGAGCTAGTTGTTTAATAAAATATGAAAATACTTTATTAGTAACAAATAATTATTCTGCAGTAAATTATAAGTTGCATAAAGAGCATTAAGTTGCAGTAATTTTAACACATCATTTTTTTAATAGAATGTACAAAATCAGATTTTTCCTATACCTAAACATTTTAAAGGAAAAAAAAAGCATAACGTTTAGGAAATTAATTAACATTATGAGAAAATTTCTCCTAAAAGCAAATATTAATAAATCAAATAATTTCAGTCCCTCAATTCAAATTGCACCATTGTAAGATTTCCATTTGAATTAATTAATCGTTACATCCCCAATAAGAAAATAACTCCCACCTCATAGAATAACTACAAAAATGGAAAAGAATGGAAAACGAATAATAGTGTGCCATTCTATTAGGCGACAAAAGAAATTTCAACAGCTTCTATTGACTTTTTGTCAGCTTATTGTCACACGTAAAAGTAATTTGGAGAAGGTCTAGCCATTTTCATCTTTGTTTCAATTTCCAAAATTGTTCCGGTATCTTCTTTTTGTATAAATGCGGAAATAGTTGGCGGTGACAAGAGAACTCTATATATTTAAAAGCACAATGGGAATTTTAAATTGTATCCAGTTAGAAATTATATTAACCTCGCCTTTTGCCTTGTACTTTGGTTCGTGCATATGAATTTTTAAGACTGACATTTTGTGAAAGGCCGATGACTTTACGCAAATTTTTCTTTTTGTAAGATTGAATAATTGTTCGAAATGTAAATATTGCTTCCGAGAAAAATGCACTTTCGAGTGTCTTTCAAGGAGAATATATAAAGGAAGGATTTCGAAGAAATTTGAGTTCGCTTACCTCGACCCTCAGTAGCTGACTTTACTAGCCGGTCTGCGGTAAGTTTGATTTCGGAATTATGCATTGCATTTTAGAATTAGAATTTTTAGAATATCATCCTTTCTATTACTTTCATTTATTAATTCTTATTTTAGGTAAAAGTAATAAGCTCAAAATAATTGAAAAATTTTTGACAATTATTTTGAACTTATTACTTTTATCTGAATTGACAGAATCGAATTGCTATGCTAAATTTTATTTATTGCTTTTATCTCTCGGTCGGTTTGCGAAATTGAAGATTATAATTGATAGTCGCTTTAACATTGAAAAGTTTGTAAGGATAATTAATGTTTTCCGTCAAATTTTAAAAATGAAAACAGTAAAAATATTTATGATGAAATATTTTAAATTATATATATTTTTTTTCTCTTAACTTTTTTTAATGTTGACTCAATTGACGAAATTTTCTCTTACTTGGTTACTTCCTCACAAGTGCACAATCTTCTAAATTAATCTCCGAGAATCATGCGTAACATATTTACAATTAATCATTGTTTTTTGTTTTGTTAAAAGCAGGAAGAAATTATCGGGCATTTGTCATGGTTGATTATTATTGTTGTTTTGAGGTATGTAATGTTAAGAGAATAGGAGATTTTTTTCTCAAATATGTTGCCTAATATTAAGACTAAAATTTTAAAATAGTCACTTTATCTAGTAAAAAGTATTGATTCTTCGATTTGTAAAATAACATATATTTGAATATGTTATATACATATATTTGACATATATTTGACCATATATTTGATAATAGCATATATTATCAAATATATGGTCAAATATAATAACAAATATAATATCATATATAATAACAATATAATAATAACAATATAATAACATATATTTGACCATAATATTTAATTGCATATTTCAGAAAACTTATCTAAATGCAAAAAGGTACTTTTTTTTTAATGATTTTAGGCACCCCGAAAAGATGAATTTGTAAAGTTAAACTTCAATTATAAAAGGTATTTTGTAGCAATACCAACTTAAAGTAAATTATTATCATAAATTTTTTCGGTTTATCTTATGTTTTAGGTTGATTAACCTTCTTGATCCTTAAACATTTTTGTAAATTAAAAAACAACTCCGTTTTAAAGTTAAGCGACTAAAGTTAAACTCAATTTCGTTCTTCTACTTCAAATACAAGAAAATTAATAATTCTAAGGATTTCAGTTTCTATAAAATTTTTTAAAATATTTTCATTAAAGAGGTTTCGAGAACATAAAAGCTTTAAAAATCAATGCTTTTTCAATTTATTCAAACACTACTGCACTGAAGTATGTCTCAAATGGCAAAAGAACTCAGATTTTTAATTTAATTTACAACGCCAGATCTTGTTCTCTTTTCCCCCCCTCCCATTTCAATTGCAAATTGATGCTGACAACTTTGAATGCTCTTTTTGTTCCTGATCATTTTTTTCCGTGTCTTTTCACAAATTAGCAGTCTATATATTAATCTATTAAAGATAACATGACATGAAGTTTGAAATAATTATTAGCCGAATATAATGAAATTACATTATAATTAATTTCCTTTAAATTTGTTGACAGGAAATTCATCGATCGTTTTCCGACTTTATTATTCTATAATTTTATCTAAAAAATAATAAAAATTAACAATTTTAAATTTAGAAATGTTTTTAAACATTAGTAGCAAAATTGTTAAAGACAAGATATAAACTTTTTAATTTAAAATAAGCAAAAAAAAAAATTACGATTGAAGCATTTTTTTTAGTTCCATTAACAATTTTTAAAACTTTTCATAATGTCTCGGGATTCTACACTTTTTAGAAAACCTTTCCAGTATAGTATAACATGTACTATATGGTATGCAAAAAAAGTTCGAAGCAAGAAATATATACATTTTAAAAAAGTTTCAAAAATATGTTCCAGGTTTTCACAATAGTACTTGCTCGAGCCTCCAGGGATGATTTTATCGGTAAAAAGGGGTTATGTTCGAATTTTAACCCTTTGATGGCAGATGGGATACCGGTGTCCTTTATAGATATATTTTTTTTCTCACGCTCTAATTACAAGCAAAAATATATTTTGTCTTTTTTTTTTTTTACAAAATATAGTCTACTAATCACAAACAAAAATTCTGTTAGACTACCGGAATTATATTTGTACTATAATATAAAATTCAAAAAAAGTAGTTTGAAATTTTTTTTTTCATTCATAATCAAAAGGTTATCAATAACTGATTTTATAAATTAAGGAAATTTCGATGATGAATAACTATTTCTTATAGATCTCAATAACTGCAAATAAGTACGAATTTGAAAAATTGTCTGGAAGTTAGCCATGTTTAGAAGATTTTTTCTTTAACGCAGAGAATGTCAGCTGTGTTTTATGCTGTAATTCATAACCATAATTTTTTAAAATTCTAAAAGATTATTTTTCACTTATTTTGTACTAAATTAAACAAAATGATGGAAAAAAAAGTACTAAAGTATGGTTAAAAATCCACTGCCGGGATTTATTTATATTCATAGAAGTCTACAAATTAACCCCCTTTACTGATTCCATGTATTATAAAATTTTTGCTGCACATAGATAATTTAATAGAACTTGAACGTACACATTTTATTTTGAGATTCATGGCATTCATCCTATTTCACTTAGATCTGTATTTGAATCTCGTTCAAATAGACAGTTCAACTTTTGTTAATTCAGGTTAGTGGCGGATATGATATCATCTTCCGCCAGTCACACCTTTGAACCACCTAGTAATTTCCGGTCAGAATTTTTTTCTCTCTTTCTATATTCCTATTGCTGAATACTATTAAGGTTGCTGTTGTCCTTTAGTGTTAAAATAAGGGAAATTCCAAGTGTATATTTTCTACACGAAATATTTTAAAAATGGGTTTCTAAATTTTACTCAGCTTCAAACTATTTCAGTCAATTACTTCAAGCATTAACTATTAGCAAGTATTATTCTTGTTACGAAGGTTTAAAAATTGTATGATAGAGTGTCATTCTGAGAAATTCGCCAAAATTAAATCGTTTTTTGAAATTCGTTAGCAATTTTGTCCATTATTTTGGGAACAAATAAAACCTATGATAAATCGCAAAATTTTACAAATTAGTTTGCAGAAATTTACTTTTACTGCTAATTTTATTTATTTATTTTTTTATTTTCAAATCGTCTGGAATTATTAAGCTAATTTCCTTCCTGGAAGTGCGAATCTTAAGTTTCTGTATGTTTAATTGTTCTTGAACAAAGTATAATATATTGCCAGCAAAATGATTTGTAGCCTGTAAAATGTTGCTTCCTTAAAAAATTATTAGTACATTAAAAGTAAGAAATGGACGATTTTTGTTTTTTTACAATTTCTATAAATGGAGACGTTCTTTAAAATCTTTTTCTAATTTTCAAATCTATTTTTTTAAACATTTTTTAAAATGATTCAGAAAAACCACTATTTATAGAATCGCTTTCTTAAAAATTGCTTTCAATTGTTCATTTTAAAGTATTTTTGAATGAACTCAAGCTTATCAGAAGCTTTAATTTTCTAGGTTGTAAATTTGAATTAAATCGTAAACATGTGTATGAGTTAGTATATGTATGGAAATGATAAATGGTATAATTCAAGAACGCAGTGACATGAAAAGAAAGACAACACACATTTCATACTTATACAATTTTATAAAAAGTTTCCCGATAATTCTATACATAGCTGATTTTCTCACACTCACTTTGAATTATGAATATTATATTCACGAATATTGTAACACGAACAGTAATTTCCTCCATTATTCGTTAAATATTCAAATTTTTTATTTTTTATAAAAGATTATTATTCTTCAGATTTTATTCAATTCTTCTCGTATATAAAGAAAAGCTTTAACCTTATTCATTCAAACAATAAAAAACTCATCCAGATGGAAACTTTCTCGATTGTAGAAGTCATTGTTGTTTTACATTTTTTATTCCTATTATTTGGTTCAGTAAAAGAATATTTTTGTAATTTATTTGTTTTCATCTTTTGCAATCTGTTAATTTTTCTAGAATTATTCTTACTACTTTCATAATATAAATTGTTTTTAGGTTCTGGCCCTGCTCGCTTCTCTAATCAACCTCAATGATTGCATCGCTATCATTTTTGTTTACTAACGGTAAACAGATTATCACATGAATTTTAATAACGTAAATATGATTCTAGAGGTATGTCCGATTCTGCTGGAAAAGAATTTAAACTTGATCATTTTGTTGGGTTACCATTGCAACTTCACATACAAACTTGTGCTAATTCTCATTTAATTTTTGGTTATTATAAAAAAACTTGTTAAGTATCTTTTGCAATCTGTTAATTTTTCTGGAATTATTCTTACTACTTTCATAATATCACTACTTTCATAATATAAGTTATTGGTTATTATGAAAAATTTAATTATTGGTTATTATAAAAAAACTTGTTAAGTATTTTTACTTATATTTTGCACAATATATTCTTGAACAATAGTTTATAATATTGCGCCGGAATTTTAATTAGCTATTTTGTACTTATTTTATTAATCACGTATGCTGAATGAACACAGGTTTTTCATTAATTTTATATTAAAAGTATAACTCATAAAGGGAAAATATATCTTATTTACCGTTTAATAGTAAAACAGTAAGAGATTTTTTTATCATATAATCTTGCATCATAAGGTAATTTCCTGCGATTACCTAAAATAAATAAATAAAAATATATGAAATTAATAAAATTAATAAATAAATAAATTAAATTTACTAAAAAACTAGATTTGTAGATATAGGCCTGTAATTTTCAATAATAATTGAAATAAAAAGCGTAATTGTGACGGAGATTAATATTAATAAAGGATGATAAATAATTATTACCATATAAAAAATTCAAAAGGCAAATCTGTTCTAACTTTTATAATTTTAAGCTGATGACAGTCACATTTAAGGGTCCTATTTGTGAGATAAGGATTCAATTATATGAGTTTTTATATAACTTGATCTATCAGAATGCACGGACAACATAATT